GCTCACTGAGCTCATCACAGACACTCACCAAGTTCATGAACGCTCACTGAGCTCATCACAGACATTCACCCAGTTCATGAACACTCACCAAGTATATCACGAATGAATGTTCACCGAGTCCATCATGAATACTCACTGAGTCCATCACGAATGCTCACCAAGTTCACAAACACTCACCAGATTTATGAACGCTCAGCAAGTATATCATGAATGAATACTTACTGAGTCCATCAAGAACGCTCACTGAGTCCACCACAGACACTCACCAAGTCCATCACTGACGCCACCAAGTCCATCACAAACACTCACACTCACCGGGTTCATCATGAATGCACCCAGCTCGCTGGGAGGGATCCGATGCACCAGCTCTGCGCCTTCCAGCAGCGCGGAATCTGACCTGGTCCAACACTGGGACTTGACAAGGCGTATGTACCAGTCCTGGAAAGAAGAAGATGGTGGAGGCAGGCAGGCAGGGCGTGCAAGGTGCTTCCACTCTACCGGCAATGGGCTGTTTCTGTTTCTTTGCCACCACCCCTCACATCCTAGGGTTCCAGACCAAAGAAGGGGGTGCCTCCCCAACCTGGGCTGTGAGTGCAGCTTTGGTGATATGAGACTTCTGGCTGCCCATGTGGGCTGCTGGCTTTCTCAGTACAGACTGCTACAGAGGCTGTGCCTTCAGACTCACTGTTCCCCAGCTGGGACACCTGTCACCCCTAAAACTCGGGGAGGGTGGCCCCTCACTTGGCCCCACACCATCACCCTCTCCTGGGATCAGCTGCTTTACTCGTCTCCCCTCAGCTCCTGTGCGGAGTGGGGGGGGCACGATGCACAGAGGCGGAGAACTCAGGCCAGGGTTTTCACTGTTCCATGCATGGGCTGTTGTTTTTTAAACCAAAGTTCACGTTTACACTGAACTCTCTCCAGGAAACAGAGTACTAAGGAGTACTCAGCCAATTCTTTTCCTATCATCTCAAATTCAGTAAAAGAGAAAAGACAGGAAACCATCTCAGCTCTACCAATCAGGCTACCTTCCTGCAGAGGCTGGAGGGAAGATGAAGCTGGCTCACTTGCCAGCCCCCTAGCAGGCGGCACTGGCAGCATGCAGGGCCCCAAACAGTCCCCAACTATGAAGTGTGAGTGGCAAGGATGATGGCCACTAACAATGTCCCTGAACATGGCAGAGTCCACATGCAGGAGGCCAGAAAGTGCAAGGAGAGGGAGCACTTGCCACTAGCACATGCTTGAAGGCCTGTGTACTCATGGGTCCTGAAGGCCACGGCCAAGCATCTCCTCACATCCACCGAACTCTCCACATTCCTGTACTAAAGGCCTGTGCACTCACGGGTCCTGAAGGCCACGGCCGAGCATCTCCTCACGTCCACACTCCTGTCCTAGGAGTTCCAAGTCAGTGTTTCCTCTCGCTACCACCCTTCTTGATGCTGATGTCTCCACCCCATTTCCCAACCAGAGCCGCTGACAACCTGGGCTGGCCACAGACCCCTGCTCAGAGGTGGGACCCAGTGCGTCGCTGGGGAGGAGCTGGGGCAGGCTGCAGCCCTCAGGAGAGAGGCCACCACACCCTTCACACAAGGACAGGTGCCTCAGAGTGAGCCCTGGTGTCTTTCTGTCTCTCTCTCACACACACTCACACACACACACACAGACAGGCGCGTGCTGGACACTTACTTTATCTGGGCTCACTGTTTCCAGGGACATCTGCCCATCCCTGTCCAGCGGGTGGGAAGTGACGGGAGGGGAGGGGCTTGGTGACTCAGGGACGGTGGAGAGACGGAACCTGTCCAGCAGGGAGTAGAGCCTTTGGTGTCTGAAATGCAAACACACAGTTGACGTTTTTAGGCTCCGTCCGAGCTGTGCAGAAAAGGGCACTAGAAATACACTCTGTAAGGAAGAAATAACAGTGGCTTCTTAAAGTCAGATGCAACTGGTTAAAAACTTTCTCTTCATAGCTATTTTCTCAACACCCAAGCAGGTCATGATGTAAACTGAGGCCCTGATTTACTGTTAACAACCACAGTTTACTCCCCATAAATATGTTTCAGAAATTTCATTTTTGCTCAGATATTACAACAGGCAGTGCCTGGCATGACAGCTAATGAGGGCGCTCTTTAGGGATGCAGACGCGACACTCTGCTCCAAGACCAAGTGCACGAGCTCTCCTGTTTAATCCCCTAACAAGGCCCAACGCACACCAGTTTAGGGTCATTACTGGAGCCCTGGGGGCGCAGTGGTTAAGCGCTCGGTTGCTAACCGAATTGGTCGTGGTTTGAACCCACCAGCCACCCTGCGGCAGAAAGATGTGGCAGTCTGCTTCTGTAGAGATTACAGCCTTGGAAACCCTACGGGGCAGTTCTACCCTGTCCTACAGGGTCACTGTGCATCGGAAACTGACTCAACCTCAAGGGGTTTGTTAATTTTTCTTTGTTCATTTTTATGGTCATTTCATAAAAGAATCGCCACATCCAGCCCAAGATGTTTTGTAATTTTCCTCATCTGGGCTGAAGACAAAGTCTAGGATGAAAAGATAATAATAGCTTGACCTCACCCCATCTGCTACATAATGCAAATTACAACAGTGCTGAGCCCTGCATACAGAAAAATCAGCTGCGACTGTGGCGTGCCCTCCAGACTATGCCCCGTCCCGCTGAACACACCATCCACAAGCTACACTCAAGACGAACTCACAGCACAGTAATTATATTCACACACACACACATTTCCCCCCTGAAGGAGGAAAAAAGGTAAAAGCTTCTCTTAATTTCTGTTGTTGCTGCAGTCATGGAAATAGACTCACGTACAAGATATAATGACTTCTGTAAAGGCTTCTAAAAGATTTTGCAAACAAAATTAGGTGACTGACTAGCTATGAAGAGAGAAGATTTTACCAAGTTGCAGACATAATTGTTGCATGTCAAGAACCTGCCACGTCTGCCGCAGGTCTTTCAGATTTGATGGCCCTGATTTAGCTGTGAGATTACACGCTCTCATTCTGCCCGGGTAAAGCTGGGGCGCCTGTTCCCATCTGCCACGGGACAGAGAAGGGGACGCACAGAAACGCCCAGCCGGAGCACAGGCACCCCCGGCTGCTGCCACAGGCCGGAAGTGCAGCTCAATTCTCGTAAAGTGAGAGCCATTTATTTTTTTGTCATTTAGGGAGGCTTCCTATGAAGTCACTTCTATGGTAAACCCATTTATCGAGTGTATGGATCTTGTCCTGTGAATTCTTTCCCTTATTAACCCACGCTTTTAGATCCTGGGGCACACAAGCAAGGCAGGCCTGTCTTCCCAGCATTACCTCTGCGCTAGCCCGCTGCTCTGAAGGTACTCCTGAATCCTGTTCAGTTCTTCCAGTGGCAGCTGAGACATGCTGCTCTGTGGTAAAAAGAGGACATCGGTGGGTGTGTGCCACACAGCCAACCACCTTCATCTCACGCTCACTCACAAAGGATGAATCGCGACACTTGGGGCTTATTCTGGCAAAGGCAGACTAGAAGTAAGCACAAAGACAGTCATATCAGCCACGAGGGGCGGTGAGCTGTACGTGTGACATACGCCTCCATCGGTGGCCACGTGAAGAACGTGCCTGCGGGACCACCCACCGTCCTGTCCCCACTGCTGAGCCTTCACCGTGAATCAACACCCGTGTTGTTTTCCAACCTGTGCGTTTGCAGCCAGAAGCATTTCCACACGGCGACAGGCAAGGGTGTCGACCCTGCGAGCCAGCACGCGGAGCGGGGTGCACAGCAGCCGGTCCACATACAGCGTCAGCACGGCACCTGACTGGCTGAGGTGGATGCCCTCCAGGCACTGCAGCGTCTTCCTCAGCGTGGTCGGCTGGCGAGCGTTCCGGAGGAGGAAAGGAACAAGTGCAGATTGTTTTGCCAACTGGAAACTGGAATTTTTTTTAAGGCAGAGAAAACTCTTAATTGGCACTAGCTGGCAGGATGAAGACTTACAGTTGAAAGGTTTTCGCAGCGAGACTGAATCGCCTGGATGAAGAGCCCACTGGCAGCAGAATTCCGGTGGACAGCACTAATGAAGTCCTGAACCGGAGGCTCTTGGGACAGGCTGATGAGATCCTGAATGTGGTTCACAATGAGCCATGTCAAGTGCTCCGAGTCATGCAGGTTCTGACACTGAGGAGACAGTGAGCGAGAGACTTGTTTTCCAGGAGACGGGAAGAGATGCTAAAGTCACATAAGAGGAAACACAGATCCCGATCTCAGCCCTCGCTGACGTGCAGACTGTCTGAACACAGCTGAGGGTTTACAGACCGAGTCGTCAAGGCACCAGCGGCCGCCCAGCAGTCAGATCTGCAGGGGGCATGGTACAGCACTCCCACTCCAAGAGACACCAGCACAGAGCCAAAGGTTGGAGGGAGAAAAGGGCACCCTGCCCCCGGGGACGCTGCCCACGGGGATGCCGTTCACAGGGACACTGTACACGGGGACCCCGCCCATGGGGATGCTGTCTGTGGGTTCAGCGTGGTGTCTAGGGGCAGTGGGGGAATAGGGCGGCTCACGCAAGGCAGCCTGCCATGGAGCCCTGTCACTCATGTGAGAAGTGACACCCCCTCCACAGCCACTCCTGCCCTGCTAGGCCTCAGTGTGGCCCACCGAGGTCTGATGGCAGGATCCCTCTCTCTCCAATTTTGTAACAGTTCAGTGGAAGAAAAGAGCTCACGGTAACTGTCACAGCTTTAATAAAACACTGAACCTGGAATGAACAGATCTGCACTTCTTCACCTCAGATTCCTAAGGAAACACGAATTTCCGTTCTTAAATACACGCACTGCCTTTTCATCTAATCATCCTTCTAGGCAGAAACTGTAAAACCTGATCCATCCCTTGACATCCGGGTAACAATTACTATTGTTTCATTTGAGATCATTGGACAGTATTAACTTAAAAAGTAACATTTCTTTTTCTTACATGTCTGTGAAAAAACAGCATTATATGATTATATTATTTCTCAAAAGTGGAACAAAACGGAAAAACTATTTCAACATCAAGAATGTAAAGCAAAAAGAGGATATTCGTAAACCGCTGTCACAACAGAACAACTGTGACGACATTGAGTTCAGCTGCAGAAGCCCACTCCGTTCTGCCTCGGATGGCTAACCAGGCCTTGCTGTGTCGCGTACACGACGCCACGTCGGCACCAGAGAAACGTCTGTTTTTACACAGACGCGGGAAGGCACTAAACCTGGCCACAATGCAACAGTGAACATGGGATACTAGTTTTATGGTTAAAAACGACACGAAAGTTATTTTTTAAAAAAGAATGGCATTCAAACAAGAATCTGTTTTAAAATGCAGCAGTGACCATTTAATGCCTTTTGTACAGATTAATAAATAAAATTAAAAAAAAATCAGAATGCCACTACAGTTAACACTTACAACTTGTTTTTTTTAAATTACTACTACTGCAGTGATCATTACTCCACAGCTCCCGTCCATACAGCAGACGTGCTCAGCACCACGTCTGCAGGGTGGCCGCCACACTCGCTGGATGAACGACAGCTGAGTAAACCTTTTACAGACAAGCTGAAACCTCGGGGACCGCAGGGCCACATCTGGTTTCATAACTCTGTTCCAGAGCAGACGTGAACATGGGTTTTAGTTTGACAGGGTGTGTGGAACGGTGGGAAGTGGGTCTGGTTTTGAGACAGTCTGCAGGAAGCATCGCCTACCCAGGGGTGTCTGCCCACCCCCACCCCCAACTGCACACATTTTCAAACTTACAACATAATCACAGAAGAGAATGAGCGCCCCTCTTCTCACTATCTCTCTATTGCACATCCCCAGCTTGGATGCCAGGTCAGAATCGTCCTCCTCTCCCAGCGTCTGAGGGCTGAGTAACTTGGTGCTGGAAAGACTACATCTCCTGGAAGAAGCAACAGACTGCATTGACAATATTGCTGGGACAACAGTGGGCTGATTTTCAAAACACTGATGATGATTATGTTTAATTCTAGGTCTAAGACAGACAAGTTATGTTAAACATTGCCGTATCAGAATGACTAGTGGGTAATACGTCCCCTCGGTGATGTGTTCCTGAGCGCTGATAAAGCACATACAGAAAACTAAAGAAAACAGAGGATTTGGCAGAAAACTCAGATGCGTGACTGAAAGGCGAAACCCACCCTTCTACAAAAACTGTCCATTCCATTGGCCCTCTGATTTCAGAACTGAAGACGGAATCACCCTGGCTACGTTGATAATGCAGCCATTGTTTGGGGGAATTCCCCATTTCTAATTTGTCAGAAAAAATGCCCACTGTTCTAGAAGAACTAGATGGTGCCCGGCTACCACCAATGACTGCCCTGACAGGGAATACAACAGACAGTCTCCAATGGAGCAGGAGAAAGGTGGGGTGCAGAACTCAAATTCTAGTAAAAAGATGAGACTTAATGGTCTGACTGAGACTGGAGGAACCCCAGAAAGCACAGCCCCCAGACTCTCTGTCAACCCAGAACTAAAAGCATTCCCAAGGCCAACTCTTCAGACAACGATTAGAGTGGACTATGGGACATAAAATAATACTCGTGAAGAGCGTGCTTCTTAGCTCAAGTAGATACGTGAGACCAAACGGGCAGCTCCTGTCCGGAGGTGGGATGAGAAGGCAGAGAGGGTTAGGAGTTGGTTGAACGGACACGAGAAATCAGGGGTGGAAAGGAGGAGTGTGCTGTCACAGTATGGGGAGAGCAATTAGGGTCACATAACAATGTGTATATAAATCTTTGCATGAGAGACTAACTTGAATTGTAAACTTTCACTTAAAGTACAACAATAAAATTTAAAAAACAAAAAACATGTTTTTGGAAACTCAAGGAAAAAAAAAACAAAAAACCTGCCCACTGCCAGAGAGCAAACCTCTAAAGGTTCATATTCTACCGTTCAGTTACCAATTAAACGTAACAACTTGCCCGCAGTGTATCTACTATGATTAAAAGTCTGCACTGGCTGATAGAAGTAGCTCTGCAAAACTAATTCCACACAAGCGGGGTTATTTCAGAGTCCCTGCGGGGTGCAAACAGTTACACTGTTGGCTGTTAACCGAAAGGCTGGAGGTTCCAGTCCACCCCAAGTCACCCTGGAAGAAAGGCCTGGCGATCTTCTTCTGAAAACTCAGCCACTGGAAACCCCATGGAGCACAGTTCTGCTCTGACACACATGGGGTTGGCATGAGTTGGAGTCAGCTTGATGGCAATTAACTGATTTGGTTTTTTGAGTTTGAGGGTTATTTCACTTCATACTTACTTCTTCTCTCTTTGTCTTTTTCAAGTAAACGGGAATTACAAACTTCAAGACTCTCAATTCTAACCCAAACATCTCAAACCCCATTTCTGCCACACTTCCAACCGTAGACGCCAGGAGTGAACGCTCCTGCCCCGCCGACTTCAGGGTCTGACCCAGGACAATGGCCTCGCCCTGGTGGCAGAGTCTCGGCCACCTTCTGCCGAGGTGTGATCGTGACGGAGGTCACGTCAGGGCAAGGATATTCTGAAATGTATCAGGCGTTCCTGTAACCCATCAGGACTTGGAAGTGAACTGGCATAAAAAATTCTATAGATAAAGAAAAAATTTAAACTATTGTTTCTCTTCCAAGCGGTGAGTGAGCAGATGAGCAAACCGTGGTACCTCCAGACGATGGAACGCTGCCCAGCAATGACCAGAAACCAGCTGCTGACATGTGCAATATCTGAGTCTCAGATGGATTCTGCTGAAGCCGGCCCCAGAGGGCTCCACACTGCGCGGTCCCGCTTACAGGACATTCTGGAGAAGGTCAAGCTATAAGGACATGTCATGGATTGAACTGTGTCCCTCAAAAATATCTGTCAACTTGGCTGGGTCACGATCCCCAGTATTGTATGATTGTGTACCATTTTATCATCAGATGTGATTTTCTAATGTGTTGTAAACTCGATCACTATGATGTAATAAGATGGATTAGCGGCAGTTATATTGATGAGGTCTACAAGATCAGAGAGTGTCTTAAGCCAATCTCTTCTGAGATATAAAGAGAGAAGCGAGCAGAGACACATGGGGACCTCATATCACCAAGAAAGCAGTGCCAGGAGCAGAGTGCGTCCTTTGGACCTGAGGTTCCTGCGCTGAGATGCTCCCAGACCGAGGGAAGACTGATGCATCACAAGGACCTTTCCCCAGAGCCGACAGAGAGAAAAGGCCTTCCCTTGGAGCTGACAGCCTGAATTTGGACTTGTAACCTACTAGACTGTGAGCGAATAAACTTCTCTTGGTTAAAGCCACCCGCTTGTAGTACTTCTGCTATAGCAGCACAAGATGACCAAGACAGGACAGAACATGGACCAGTGGCTGCCAGGACCTAGGGGCAGAGCAAGGGGGTGACGACAGGGAAATATGGCAATTTCTGAAGTGATGGTTCTGGTCTCTCTCTTGACTGTGGTGGTGGAAACCTGACCATGTTCATGTAAAGGGTGCATTTTACTGGACTGTAAAGTGCACGTCACTAGAACAGCCCACAGAAGCTCTGCCATTCCTCAGTCAGCCACCCACTCAGTCCCACATGATTTATGTTGACTCTGTAATTTTCCGTTTTGCAATAATATAGCTATAGGGCAAAGAGCCTCCAAGAGAGACAGGGTAGTGTTTGCAATTCAAATACTGATGGTAGACATAAAGAAGGTCCAATGTCAACCAAAACCGAGTCCCAATTTGTGCCAGCGCGACGCCAGAGACTCAGGATGGACGCTGGCGTATCCCGACAGTGAGTGCACAGTCCCATCTAGGATGACTGTACATGCAGTCCTCAGAATGGGGCAGACGGGAAGCGGCTGACACATCACACACAGCCACACCACACCCACGGTGCTGCTGGTCATGCAGGACCCCGGCATTTCCACCCAAAGGGGGGACAATCAGAAATAAATCGTAAATCTAGGATTATGTCTTCCAGAAAATAGGAGCCAAGCAAGGTCAGATCCCACTGGGATAGCCATGTGCTTTCTGGAGCAGGGCTCCCCAGAGGGGCCCGGGAGCCGGGCTGGTCTGAGAAGGGTGCGCGGCAGGGTGAGCGCAGACACAGGAAGGGTTTGGGGAGCCACTCAGAACCTGTGCGAGGATCTGACAGAGCAGCTGTATGCCTGCTGCGTCTAAAAATAAAAGACAGTGGTTTGTATGGTGCGTTTCACACTTTCAGTAACTCGTTTCTATCACCTTTTGGAAATGAGAGAAACGGACCCTTCCCCAGGCCCCGCGTGAGAAGCACTGTCCTACAATCTGCTCCTGGGGGACCGTCTGGGCATGTGTGGGTTTCTTCTTCCTCCCTTCTAACCAGCGGGACTTTAAACACTGAAGTACTAAGAAACATATTTTATCATATATCATTGTCTTTTGATTTCATCTTCACATCACCGTTAAGACATTACGCTTGTTGTTGCTGTTACTGCGGAGTCAATTCCAGCTCATGGTGACCCCACAGGACAGAGCACAACTACCCCGCAGGGCTTCCAAGGCTGTAATCTTTACGGGAGCGGATCGCCAACTCTTTTCTCCCGTGGAGTGGCTGGTGGGTTTGAACCACCAACCTTCTGGTTAGCAGCTGAGTGCTTAATCACTGCACCACCAGGGCTCCTTTAAGACATTATATGTTTATGAAATTAGAAGTATAGACAGCTTATAGAATCTTAATTTTATTTCAGGATAACAGAAGGGGGTATTATAAGCTATTATAAAAAGGGAAACTGGGTCAGACGGGGTGGAGAGACACGGTCACAGAGTGAACCACCACATTCGTGACAAACTGCAGCCCTCAGGCACCTGAGTGGGCACGTCTGCCTGATTCCAGACTAGATTCACTTCTGGTGTAATTCTTGTAAGCGCGACCACCCGTCAAGCATTTCTGTTATTCCAGATCAGGGGACGCGGCTCCCGGGTCCAGCAGTGGTTTCTGACGTAACGTCAGAGTAAACAAAGGCACGCGTGTCAGAAAGGGACAGGACGGCCTGAGCAGGCAGGTCCCAAAGCCGGCGGAGAACACCTACGAGACAAACGGCTTTTCAAACTTGAAACTCAAGTGAGAGTTAAATCCCACCAACACAAAGAAGACCAAAGCGCACACAGAAAGGGAAAGGCATGGGGCACCCTGGTGGGCTGGGAAAACAGAGCCCCCTCCAGCCTTGGAGCTGACGGAAGCCATGGCACTCACAGACGCTGCTCGGCTCACAGCTCCGTGGAGCCAGAGGGACAACTCAAAGTGGGGGTCAGGGACCAGCAGCCATGGCATCACCTGGCAGCTAGGCAGAAACACCGTTTCCAGGCTCCACCTGAGATCTGCGGGATCAGACTCTCTATTTTAACCAGCCACACTGCAGTTTAAGCGGCGCTGAGCTAGAAGACACTGATTTTCTCTAGAGCTAGGAGGAGCAGCTCATACAGTCTGCAGTCAATACAACATGCTTAAAATATAACCGTCTGATCTGCACCCGATCATGGGGATGGCACGGGACGGGGCAGTGTTTTGTTCCGTTGTGCATAGGGTCGCTGTGTGTCAGGGGCCAACTTGCTGGCAGATAACAACAAAAACATTCTCTAAGAACAGGACACGAGGCAAAGATCAGTCCAGAGGACTAACGGACCACAGCTACCACGGCCTCCACCAGACGGAGTCCAGCACAGCTAGATGGTGCCCGGCTATCACCACTCACTGCTCTGACCAGGATCATAACAGAGGGTCCTGGACAGAGCCGGGGAAGGATGTAGAACAAAAATTCTAACACACACAAAAAGACCAGATTTACTGGCTTGAAGGAGACTGGATAAACCCCAAGAGTATGGCCCCCAGACGCCTCTTAGCTCAGTGGTGAAGTCACTTCCGAGGTTCACTGTTCACCCGGGGATTGGACAGCCCCATATAACAAAACGGGACTAATGAGGCACAGCAGTCCAGGGACAAGGACTAGCGGGCAGATGGGGACAGGAAAGCTGGTGATAGAGAACCCAAGGTTGAGAACGGACAGTGTTGACATGTCGTGAGGTTGTTAACCACTGTCATGGGGCAACATGTGTACTAACTGTTTAATGAGAAACTATTTGTTCTGCAAACCTTCACCTGAAGTACAATTTAAAAAAAAAAAAAAGTTCTCCAAGTATTTCACATGTTCTCACCGGTCTGTCTGCCCCAACTAAATTATCAGCCCTCTGAGGGCAGGAAACAGCTACTGTTTTTCCTTTTAATGTCCGGTAACACACAGCACAGAGCGGACGAGCTGTGACGCCTACCAGCACTGGACTCCCCAGCTAAGAGCAACGATGGATTTGTTCGCACCGGACCCATGGCCTCCGACAGCTAACTCTGTCCACACCGAGCAGGCGTGGCTCAGCCCCAGGCCCTCACCGTCTTTTATCTCTGCGGCTCCCTGCCTGTGGTGTGGGTTCGAGCCTTCCAGAAACACTGCACAGGACTCAGCTGGGGGCTCACAGCTCTTACTTACACATGTGTGGGTGGATGTCTGAGCCAGTGAGCACCTAGAAACAGAGGCATAAACCTGACAGCTTCTGGCAAAAAGAGGGTCACCCACCCACGATTACATACTTAATAAATGTTTTTCTTTTTTTAAAAAAAGGTATTTCCAAGCAGTTTTGAAATGTTGCTAAATAATGACTCATCACCTAAGAATAAGCAGAACCACATTTAACTTCTCATGGAGCGAAGGCATTGCAAAACATCTGGCTACGGAACCAATTTAGGCACCAGGGCCTCGTGGAGGGAGAGAGCCTGACGAGAACCCAGAGATGGCACAGTGTCCGGGAACGGGCCAGAGACAGCCCCGTTAACCAACGGCTGCTATTCTGAACGCCTTCACCCAGAGCATACTGTTTCTTACAATACGGTGCCCACAGTCGAAAAACGAATACGCGGCAGAAACTGCACAAGCTTCACGAAAACTGGAACGTGAAAATGTTTTCAGAGGGGCTAAATCCCAAGTCAGTGCTACTCTCTGGACAGACCACCTGGGCTGCCCCCTGGACCAGGAGGGGGGCGCCCTGCAAAGCTTACTTGGGGGTCTGCTGCACCTCGGCCCACCAGCGGTAGTCGGTGTAGTTGGCCAGCAGCAGGAGCTGGCACCAGAGCAACACGAGGGACGGGTGGGTGGGGATCATGGCGCGCACATGCGAGTTCAGGCCCTCCAGGGCGTAGAAGCTGCCGTCCGAGCTGTCACTGGTGAGGAGTCTAGTGGCGGCTGCCGTGATCCTCCGGAACATTCCTAGAAACAAACCAGAAGTAAAGCTGATTAAGGGGAACCTGCCTTTGCTGGTCGCGGCGGTCCCACGCTACATGGTCCGTGAGGGTTTTAAACAGAAAGATCCGCACACACCTCTTCCCTACACTCACACGTCCGAAGCATTTGGCACTTAAGAACTGTGACTTTTCTAAGCAAAAAACAGACATTCTGTTTATTTAGTACCTCAACCAGGAAAGCAAGTTTTTTTACTCTCCCACGCTCTTCACTGAGTGAATTTCCAGGAACACTTGAGCAGGACCAAACTCTCAAAGGCACCCGCTCCCAGCCGCGGGCCACGCAGGCCCACGGGAGCTCCACTCAGCAGGAGGCCAGCAAGCACTGAGCACGGCTAGGTGCGCGGTCCGGCGCAGCCCCACGGGAACCAGCTACCACACACCGCAGAAACTGCAGGTCACCCATCCGCCCCTTTTTCCTGCCATAACTAACGGCCCCTTTGCTTACTCAGAGGAGTTCTCAGGTGGCACAGTTACGTGCCCAGCTACTGACAGGTTGGTGGTTCGAGTCCACCCAGAGACACCAAAGAGGCAAAGCCTGGTGATCTACTTCCAAAAGACCACAGCTAATGAACACCCTGTGGAGTACAGTTCTCTGCACATATGGGGCTGCCGTGAGCTGGGGCTGACTCGATGGACACTGGTTTGGTTTGGTTTTGCCTGCCAAGAACTGAGGGGCAGAAACAGTACTGAGAGGCTGCACAGGCAAGCATGACAAGTGCCCAGAGAGAAAACCAACAGCGCTCCCCCACAGTTCCCGGGCTCACGAGGGCTCCACACACGCTACCAACAGCCCAAGAGCCACGCAGGCCCAGCTCCTTCGGCCTCCACAGCCACCTGTAGGCACACTAGGACGGAAGTGCCACCAGTTCAAACTCACCAGGCACTCTGCACGAGACAGATGTGCTCTGCACGAGACAGATGTGCTCTGCACGAGACAGATGTGCTCTGCACGAGACAGATGTGCTCTGCACGAGACAGATGTGGCAGTCTGCTTCCATGAAGATTACAGCTGAAGAAACCCTACCAGGCACCTCTACTCTGCCCTATAGCTTCGCTATGAATTGGAACTGACTAGACGGCACATAACAATGATGACAAATGTTGATTTACTGAACAAGAACAGGAACCCCTGGGGATGAAACAGCTGTGCCAGGTGACGAGTTTCAAGCATACGAGGGAGGCCCTGGCAGGACACCACGTCACATGTCTAGTAGCTGGATGGAAATGAGATGGAGACACTAGAGTGACTGGGCTACATACACAATTATGAGGGTCACCCACCTACGTAAGCAATGACCAGAGTCACAAAGGGGATGATTCTACCGAGAGACGAGAGGGAGGGAAGCAGAGAGAGAGATGGACAGAGAAAGAAGACTTGCGAAGCCATCAAAGGATGGCCACTCGGGGAGCATGGACCTTTCAGAAGTTGGAAAGAGGAGACTATGAAAGAGAAGTCACGGGAAGAGAGGGTTTCAAAACAAACATGGTGGCTCCCCAGAACTGCACTGGAGGATGCAGGACGCTCAGGACTTGGACAGACCACAGCTGGCCGCTGAGTAGGCAGCTCTGGTAAGGAGGACAAGTCAGGACCTAGACAGACCACAGCTGGCCGCTGAGTAGGCAGCTCT